ATATATATAATTAAGTTCAATTCATTTTATATATATAGTTATATACAATTTTATATAACATCATCGAACCTTTATATATAATTATGTATAAATTCCTTATATTATGTGTATATTTATATATAAATATACATAATGATTCATATATTTTCATATATATTTATACATGATTTATTATAGTTCATATAATTTCATATAATTATATATAATTAGAAGTAAGTATATGTCTGTATCATGAGATGGACGTGCCGCTTATAACAAGAAAATGATCAGGAATCTTATAAGAAGGCATATGTAAATCGAAATAGCGATTCTTCTGGAGGTTCTCAAATTTTTCTTTTAGAATGTGCCTCTAAAAATTTTTTAATTATTATTTTTTTTAGTGTATTTTAAAATGTGATGCTCATCAATAATATTTTAGCAATAAAATTTCTTTAGCAATAAATTTTCTATACATTATTTATCATTTTTACAATAGCAATGTAATTATGTATAATATTATATATATAATTATGTATCATTTATATGTGGACATATTTCATATATTTTGTATAATTACACACAACCATTTATACGTAAAAAATTGTGATAAATATTAAGAAAAGGGAAGCCATTTCCAATGATATTGATTTTCACATATGTTGTCTGAGTGACCTCCAAGAAGTTTTAATTGGCAGTCGATACTCGTTAAAAAGTCATTAACAAAAAGATTTAAAAAATAGATTTTATTTCTGCTTCATATTTGAGCGTGCAAACCTTTGGTGACCTGATTCGTTAATGTTAAATACTTATAACTCAAATATTATTATAGTCTCAATATTAGAATTCTCTTAAAATAATTTCAGAAATAATTTCAGAAATTTTCCTTTAAGCGTTATTACGTTTTTATTAATCATCTTATATGCATGATTTTATTTCATTAATAAGAATTAGTCATAAGGATTTTAGTATCTAGAATGATCGAATCAGTCAGATAAATTTTAAAGTAACTAAGACATGCGAGATAATAAAATTCAAATAATAAAATCAAATTTTGATTTAACAATTTTTTAAAGATGTGTTTGAGATTTACATCAGTTTTACATCAAATCGATAATAAGCGCTACTTCATAGTTTTTTTCATCGCAGGTATAATCGAATGTTCGCATTATGAAATCATTAAAAAAATAAATTATTAAATGGTATTCTTGAAGCTTCCTATCAATTTTATTTTAATAGCACAAAAATTATCATAACACGTTTTTTCTCTCGTTTCCTTTCTAACGTCGTTATCACATAGCAAACATGAGTACTGAGAGAGCAGCGCAAGAGAAGAATATCACTTTTCGAATAATCAGCTAATTCACTATACGATAACATATTTTACTATATGGATATTCAATCGTAATTATGAGTTTATAGATGTGAAACTTTATAAATACAGAAATAATATAAAGAAAAATATATAAAGGAAAGGAACTGTAAAAAGATTTCATGGGTAAATCGATTTAATTCTTGACAGAAAATCAGTACTCCCTTGATGGTACCAACGATTACCAAATAATTTTTGTATTTATAGCATAAGTTGTAAGTGCGTATTACACATAAACATGTATAAAAGTGAACTATAATATATACTTATGTTAATTTGTAAGTTTTGTATATCGTCATTGTAAATACACTCTTGTATATACTTTCTATGTTTCTGTACTTCATATTTTATGCATAAATACAAATAAATTTTAGAAATATAGGGATTAAAATTTCTCATTCAGTATTGGCAGTGATTATTGAATGGCAACTTAAAAATAGAAAATACAAAATAGGTCTTTCTTTATTTGAGAACGTAGGTATATTATTCGTTATTTTTTCAAAATATTATGGTCGACGAAGAATATGAAAGTTCCATTCAGAACCAAACTTTCACATCGGTTATTTTATCATCTCCAAGAAAAGCAAAGGTACAAATTATGAATGGGGATTTGCTTTTTATAAATTTTTTTCCTATATCAGTCAGTATTATATATATCATGTTTTATACTAATTGCACTGCTTTTGTTGCCTATATTATTAAATAAATATTATTATTGAATATGTTATAAATCAGTAAATAAACAAATAAATAAAATACATAAGACATATTTCCACTTTTATCTCGCGTGTAGTAAATTCCATTATAGCTTCTTCGAACAGACATTTCATCACGTTTTTATACTTAAAGTCCTGACACTCACGTAAGTCCCGTTATTAATACCGTGTTAGAAAAAATTCTATAATGACAATACTAATTAGTCATCATGCGATGCTCTAAATTCGTATTAAGGATCCTGTTTTCTTCACAGTAATCATATGAAATTCTGACGTCAAAAATGTGACTCCTCTTCTTGCAACATAAGTCAAAATAATTTTATCATATACGTCATTCTCTATATAAATAAAATATACTAATCACAATAATAGTACAACTTTATTGAATGAAACGGTCAATATTCAATAGTAGAAGCGGACATAACAAAAGTAAAATACTGGCTGCATCACCCGCAATAAATCAAGTGGCAATCTATAATCATCTTTTCCATACAATCATAATATCCGTTTATATCTTAAGATGTGATGTAATGGGTACATTTTGAGAGGAAAATACAAGCTTACATATAGTTGTAACATAGGATATGTGGTGGTAATAATTAAAGTCTCGTTGTTAGCAAAATAAAGTTTGACAATTTATTTAATAGCGCGTCTAACTTGAATTATCTACGTGTTGTGATCTCGCGTTCTCAAGATCCGTTCCTCTGCTTTATCTTTGTCGAGATCGTTCTTATATAAACATATCTTCTTTCGAAATGTGATTGTTAGTCTGATACATATCTAAATATTATTGTTAAATTGAGAAAACAAAAATAGGCCGAAGTTACTATCTATACCTACAGAAATATAGAAATATAGAAAAAATATAACAGGATAGAAAAGATATTTATGCTGACCCAGAAATAAGAAAGAACGAAAGAAATAAGTTACTCGTTTAGAAAACTGGCTATTGTATTCCGTACTGATCCTATCATATGTATGTACAATATGTATGCGTCGTATGTATTATGTATTCCGATATAACTGACTCGAACCTTTTGTCTCACGTTACGATTATTTATAGCTTTCTCGAATATTAATCTTCTTATTACTCCAAATTACTGCTTTCTATATGTGTAAGATTGTAGCGAAGTATAATCGTCACAATGGTATTCAAACGACCAGGATGCGTATAAATATATGAGTCAAGAATTGTGACTGAGGATTTAAGAGATAAAAGAACATTCTGAAGTAGATATTAAAAACAGGAAAGTGGGAAAATATATTTTCTCATCTTTCTTATGTTCTTTTATCTCCTATAGAATAGGACAGCTTGTAATTAGAAGCGAAAATTTTAAGAGATTTAAATGTAATCCATTTGTTATTGACCAATTAGCCAATTATTGACCAATTTGTTGAAGGTGATTATTTAATGGTTGTGACAAAAGACTTTGAAAAATTTGAAGAATATGAAGAAAAGGACGTCTACATATAAAAAGCTTGGAA